AGAAAATTATTTTCCAGTTCATAAAAAGTTTGCTTGTTTTAATCTGTAACTGCATCAACAAGTCACAGCAAAATAAAAGCATGAACAAGTGGTGTAATATTATGGGGCCCCTGTGTGGCCCTTGCCTCCACCCGCACCACAAAAGAACCTACAAGAAAAATCAAATCATCATAGCTGAAATGTTGGAGAAATTTCAATATGTTGTACCATTGCCTCGTAACATTTTCCTTCTCCGGTTAGAATATAATTGAGTTGTTACTGTTGTGACAGACAACTTCACCTTACTTGTTGGTTCCCCAGCCTGCAGCCAAGAGTGACCACTGTCAAAAGGGGGGAGGGCTACGCCCCCCTGAACTTTTTCCAGGGGGGGGGGGGGCTCGCGTTTCCCTTGCTCCCCCCCTGCTGGTACGCCTAGGCATGAACCAAATTCGGTATTACGGGACGTGAATGGATGACGAAGGTATGTGACTGGTGCAAACAAGATAATCATGAGGTGCGTGTCATGTAAAAACATGATAACATGCTACGCTCATGATGCGCTCACGACCATTTCACTAGCTCTTTCACAGATAAAATCCTTATTTTTGCAAAGCAGTGAAGTCATGGGTAGGCAGTATCAGCAATATTCGGCACAAATCGGTGGAAGTATGAACAGAGACCGAGAAAACTTCTTAGTTCGCGATCTGCGGTTGTTTGAAACAGGTGACTGCAGCAACCTTCTCGAGGTCTGGGCGCACACCATGTTTGTCTACAAGATGACCAAGTACAAGTGCTTCTCGCTGACCGAAGTGACATTTATTGGAGTTCAGGGTAAGGGAAGCTTCTTCAAGGCATGTTAAAACAACGTCAAGTCGATGGTTGTGTTCAGCAAAAGTGCGTCCAAAAATGACGATGTCGTCGAGGTAACATAAACGAATCTCCCATTTGAGACGACGCAGTACCGTGTCCATAAACCTTTAAAATGACGCAGAGGCGTTGCACAAACTAAACGGCATGACATTGGATTCAAACAAGCCATCTGGCGTGACAAAAGCGATTTTCTCTTTGTCGGCGGAATGCATAGGTACCTGCCAATAGCCTGATTGGAGGTCTACAGATGAAAAGTAAGATGCCGAATGAAGACAGTCGATAACGTCGTCTATGCGGGGAAGCGGATACATATCCTTTTTCGTCACCGAATTCAGACGCCGGTAGCCGACGCAAAACCTCCAGGACCCGTCTTTTTTCTTGACGAGGATGACCGGTGCAGCCCAGGGGCTAGAAGAGTCTTGGATGATGCCCTTAGCCAACATGCCTTCCACCTGTTCGGCGATCACCTTGAGCTCCGATGCAGACCCACGGTATGGTTTTTGCCTTATGGAATGCGCGGACCCCGTGTCAATCCTGTAGCGAGCCCGCGTATTAGGAATACGAACTTTTGTAGCGTCCTGGGTAAAATAAAACAATGAAGTATGCCTGCTAAGGGTGCTTCTCAGAGGGTAGTTCCTTGCTAATCATGTTCAAAAACGGTGAAGAGTCTTCGGGGACACCAGGGCTAGTCTCATGCGCACGAGATTAGTTCGAGGCATTATTGCTTAAGGCGTCGATATTAAGGCTTGTCTCCGCTTCAAACGAGGAAGTCGCATAACGCTTGGAAGCCCAACAGACTGGTTAGACAAATTTGACACCCACAATGTACTTGTGCCACAGGCCACAGAGACAATACAGCGATGCACGAGCACACCCTTCTTTGTGACAATTGATGGCATCGGCTCAACAACAGCGTCGAATATGGCATCGTTTTCGGTACTAGCTACAGTAATCTGAACGCTGGATAACGAACCGGGCGGTACGATGGAATCTTCACAGACGGCGAGGGTGCGCGAACAAGTAGCAAGTTGGTCGGCAACAAACGGAGAGACGGAAATTCACTGGTACCGCAATCAAGAGTGACACCGCACTGTTGCAGGAAATCTAGACCCAGAATAACATTATGCATCGATTTAGTAAGCACTGTGAATTCGGCTTGATAGACGTTATTAGAGAAATAGACGTTCGAGGTACACACACCAAAAGGTCGTAGCATTTCTATACTCACAGCATGTGCACGAAATGTGCCCGCATTATCCCACTTGAACATGACCTTACGGCCTAATTGGGTTTTGAAATCTATGCTGATAACGGAGACACTTGCTCCTGTGTCCACTAAAGCTGTCGTTGTAACATTGTCCACAGAAACACAAATCTTGTCATGACGCATGGTCACTGGTGGACGCGTAGCGGCGTGTAGCTGAAGATGACCGGTGACCTCACTTCCATCAGTCGCGCCACCTAGTTTCCCGGCGGCGGTGAAGTGGGACGTCGTAGAGAAGATGGGATTCTTCGGTAGCATGAAGGTAGCGGTGTCAAGCTCCACACAGACGCCGGTGAGTCACTGCGGTGATTCGCCCTATGGTTTGGCCTGCTGCCAGAGTCTGGGGGCCAGCGTGTATCGTCAACGTGCTGATTTCTGCGGCCGTAAAAAGTGCATGGTCGCCCATAGGATGGTGCTGACGTGCGACGGCGATCGGGGCAGAATCGGGCGACATGACCGTGGATGTCACAGTGAAAGCATATGGGCGTTCGCAAGGTGCGCTGATGTCAGCAGAAGGATGAATGGCCCGGCGGTTCCATGCCTGATAAACGGTAGGTGATCTGCGCGCGTATTCGTCATTCAATGGGTTGTACGGACGCATAGTTTGGCTTTGCCCTCGAGGACGAGGCATATAGCTGTAGGCATCAAGGGAGGTGCTGTTGATAGTCGTAGTACTTAAGTATCAGGGAGGAAAGAGTTCTAGAGCACTAGGTGCTGGCTGAGAAGCCACCTCACGTAGGTCGAGCTCTTCGCGCACTACTTGGCGAATCATGGACGCGAGATCCGATGCATGGGGTAGGATGCGCATCGACGCTGGCGACATTAGTGATGTTGGGCAGGCAGCCAAACTTTGGTGTAATTCGCCGCGCTTTCAGCGCTTCAAACGTATGGCAGTGCTTGATAACGTCACTTACGCGCTCCAAACTTTCTTTTGCGATGAGGAACTGGTTAACGTCCTCCACGATCCCTTTTAAAAGATGACCAACCTTGACCACTTCTGTCATCCAGGGATCCAGTGCCCTAAACAACTTGAGCACCTCCTCACAGGTCGTGCAGGTTCCCCGGGGACTTGCACTCGTTGCATAAGAGTTTGCTCAGCACGCTTCTTCTTCGCTGCCGGATCTCCAAAGCACAACTTGATTTAATCAACGAACTACCGCCCACGTCGTAAAACTTTCTTCTTGGTTTTGAAACCATACAGATGCGGTTCCTTGAGAAAGAGTCCCTCACTATTGAGCTGGCCGGTGGCATCCCTGCCATTAAACCGACTGGCCCGTTGGTAAGAGCTGAGCCATGTGTCAAAATCTTCTCCAGCTTGTCCAGCGAAGGATGGCGGCTGGATATAGGGCTGCCGCGAAATGCGGGAAGCAGGTGACTCGTTGTCATTGTTGTCGTGAGACGCCATCGCAGGTGGCAGACCAGCAAGTCGTCGGCTTCGGCGAAGCTCCGCGTATTGCGCCTCAGCGGTCGATGAGTCGCCGTTCGTCGGGGGCGCTGTTATCATACCCAGCACCTCCACCAAACTTGTTACGATGGGGCGTGTTTATTGAAGAACGAATGGCGAGGGGTAGCCGCACCGACACCGAGCTGCTTCCAAACAGACCCCTCCTCCTCCTCTCCTCCTCTCCCTTTCTCCTCTCCTTTTCTTCACACGGTGCCGCTTCTGCGTAACAATATTAGTAAATATGTACTTGCTAAGTAACCAAGCTTCCTGCGGCCCTGCAACAGTACCCAATGACCCCAACAAGGCTCGTGTGCAGTGACGGCGTTGATGAGAAACGCTTCCCGTGGGCAGCGCATGCTGGTACTGAGAGCTATACATCGTGTGTAGTTGCTATAGTGGTAGATTGTTGTGTAGAGCACATCTATATGTGGATGGCCGCTCCAGGCACACTTCTGGTCCCGTTTTTTTTTTGTGTGTGTGTGTGTGTGTGTGTGTGTGTGTGTGTGTGTGTGTGTGTGTTCAGAGCGCAGCCCGTAAAAGTTCCCACCTGCTGTGGTAGCAATGAGCCCCCCCCCCCCTCCCTTCCCCGTTCACTCACAAAGTAAGCGCGCGTGAAGACGACCCCGGCCAGAAAGGCGATGATTGCTCCACAGAAAGAGGGGGCTAGCGCTTACTTTCACATGTATAAATACATATACGTGAATGACGGTGGTGGCGGCGGCGACAGCAAAAAGCATCCGAGACTGCCCATATAATCGCTATGGCAATAAATATACTTTACACTTTCTTGGTCAATCACCCTGAGTGGGTATGAGCCATAATTTCAAGGAAACAGACAAACCGAGCAGCATCACCAACGCTGCTGTGCCTCATGACGGTTCTTCGCACTGCCTCACCGCTGACGACTATAACTTCCTTGGAGAACCAATAAACCTCTTCACAGTGTGAATACTGCATAGGGCCCTTACAGTGGTTCGCAGTCGTGACAGCGGACGCATACTACAATGCGATCAATATTGTATACGATTTTTGCCACAATAAATGCTGCGTATGACGAAATGTATATAATAGTGACTCACCTTATATTTAGCTTTCAGAAAAGGTCTCGATTTCGCCGACGAGCAATGTGGCAGCGACCTCTATAAGTACGCAATACACGAAGTTAAACTCGTGGTATTATCGGCCTGTACATATCATGGCTAGCATTCGCTTGCGAACTTAACAGACATTGTGAAACGCGCTAAGAAGCGGACATCAACAAATCTCGCTGTACACAAAAAAAAAATCGCTGCCGCAACGCCACCATTATGCAGCAGTGCACACAGAGGTGAACGAACTATACCCGTTGCCTTTGCCTTCACATCTTCCCAGAAACATAATGCAACTCCAAAATTACCTGCGTTCTGTGATCTGCTATGTGTTTTGGCCGAGGATACATGTTGAACGTGAGTTACACTTTTATTTTCCTAACATCTCAGACACTTTGTTTTGATGAAATGGCCAACTTCGCAGAATAATGTTGAGCACATGCTTCAGTTGTCTTAGGGGACTTGAAAGTAGTCTTTCATCCGGTTCTTCTTTTTCTCTGAATAACGGGTTTGTGACAGGGTCGCCTGGAATCATTACAGGTTCAGATCCGTTAAGCAGCGTTATGCGTGCCTCAATGGCCGATTTTACAGGAGTCATCTTTTTTATATGATCCACAAGAACTGAGTAGTCTGCAGGTCCTGAAGAAATAAAAAAAAACAGTATTTATGAGATGTAAACATGAAAATTCAGAGACAGACAAATAGTTTGGCTGAAGCGCTACGACATTCTACTTGTGAAGCTGTGTGAATGGTAAACCGTATCTATAATCTCCAGACAACTAAACTTCCCCAGTCTCTAGTGCACGAACGAGCTTTGGAAGAGACATACGACCTGGTGGTTACTATAGTCGTCCCGAGAGACATGCAGGATGTTAAGCACCTTGGTAGGTCTGTATGCCGACCGCCCAGCCACGGATCAGGTTATCGATGGCCGATGCTCTGTTCACCGCTATAAGTGCACAGTGTACGTTGCCACCTTCCGTTTCCCAGCCACAACTTCGGCAAAGTGAAGAGTGTACGAACAAATATTGAAAGAGAACAAAAAGAACAAAGGTCGCATTCGATTATGACAAAAACATCATTTTAAATTATACGGCTTCTTATTAGCCACTTCGCAAACGTTACGCTTCCCATAGTTTTCTGCATTCGCTCGATCCATGAAGTGTGCCATCAAGCCGAGTTTACTAAGTTAAATTCAGGGTGCTTGCGAGCACCTAAAGCCAGCAGATGAACAAAGTGTGACGCGGTTTATTGACGCGTGGATATTGGGCGTCGAAGAGCGAAGACGTCGAGGAGCCGAAATCCGGGCAGGTGCGGACTCCTGTGCGGTCTTGTGTTTATGCGGTGCTCGAATGCTAACCCGCAGGTTGCGGTATCGTATCTCGGCCGTGGCGGCTGCATTTTCGATGGAGGCGAAAATGTTCGATACCCGTGATCAAAATTTCCAGAATCCTACATTACGGCGTCTCTCGTGATCATATTATGGTTTTGGGGCGTTAGACCCCTAACAATTATTACTATTACTAATATTTAGTATCACCTGCAAATCAGTGTAAGCTTAGAAGGTCATAATTCATGATCAACAATGGTCCATGTGTCTGCGTTTTTTATATTTTTTTACCTTTCCTAATCCCCAGCTCATCACTAAAAAAAAACAGCCTACGATTTCATTTTTTCTTCTTTCTTTTTCAGTGGCTTTCTAAATACAGGCATGTACGGCTGCGTGGTTCACTACGTGTCGTATTTCGACGTTTTGCTCACCTCCGGTTGTAGCGTTGGTTGCTTTTGGGTAGCCGTCTACCTCCTTTTGTGATATAGTCTGTAGTGACGATTCTGTACACACCGGTGTCATTCACTGGCTCGTATCGTGGCACTTTGCATCTTCGACACAAAACTTGAAGTAACACAACACGACACTTAGGAGGATTCCGCAGGTTGTACGTCACACGGATACCTGTAAGAGAGAAAGGCAGTGTCTTCGCAAGGCAAGCGTCTCCGGCTATTCGTAGACGCTTTCCTGGCTTAGCGCTATGCTTGCGGTGAGACTGGTGATGTACGAACTGCAGAGGTGCCAATGCAAATACGCGCGTACACAATTTGCTCGAGTAGCAACCATGAACCCGGTCACCACGGTGGAATAGTGATTATGAGGCTGGACTGCTGACCCGAAGGTTGCGCGATCGAATCCCGGTGACGGCGGCCGCATTCTGATGGAGGCCAAGTGCTAGATCTCCATGTTACCCATGCATGTACTACTTTTTCAGGTGCATGTTAAAGAACACCAGATTGTTGAAATTTTCGTAACTCTCCAAGACAGCACTGTCATAATCGAGTGGCAGTCTTCGAACGTTAAACCCCCACCCCCCCCCCTCCACTCAAAAAAAAAAAGTGCCAAAGAGAAGAGTAGACATAATGACACACAATAGCGTTCGTCGTGTCTACTCTTTTCTTCGGCCCTTGTTTTTTTTTTTTGCGCTTCAAATTTGTTTATCCTATATCTTACCAACTCGCCCAACCTTCTGTGCTTCGAAACGTTAAAGCCTCCCTCCTATCACCCCTGCCCTCCAAGAGAAAAAAAAAAAGAACAGGAACAGGCTAACTGCAACAAGCACACCCATACAGCATCTAGAGGTCAGTGTCATGAGGACAATTAGAAGCATTTAGCAACGCTACTGTATCCATCCATGGCCATGACACAGTTAGAAGGAGCTGCTAGTAAAATTTAAAGCAGATTTTCGGATTGCTCTCGTGGCTTGCGAAGAGCCAGCACATGCACAAGAAGTTATGCTAATTCAATGTTCTGAGCTCATTACAATACGTACATGTTTGCCAGCACTGGAAGTGATGCTAATTCAATGTTTTGAGCTATAGTGACAATACGTGTTTGCCAAGCTAGTGCATTGAAAAGTCAATCCGACCTATGAAGCTTGTCAATCCTATCTGAACTCAAAGTTTTCCGACCCCTTCATTGTGGCGTCCCTCATAATTGCGTCGTAGCTTTGGGACGTAAAACCCAAGTTCTTAGACAGATTTAGTTGCACATCTGCAGTAGCCGTATGGACGCAGCCTTCCATTGCGAATGCCTAGCAGGCTGTGTCCATACAGCTGCTGAGGGCGAGCAAATAAATTTGTCTACCGTTATCAAGCTTGTGTAAACTACGTCACCGTATGAATAGAAATGCAGCTACAAGAATATATCACTCACCCGACACTTGCAAGAACTGGCCCTGCCTCTTTTCAAAACTGTACTCGGACACTGAGTGTTCGAACATGCTCCTTAGCTCGGAGCCCTTGAGTGTGATGATGACGACTGACATTCCGAAAGGCATCGTAGCTAATATGTGACCCATCGTTATGTTATCTTTGTGGAGAGAAAAAAAGAAAGTAAGTTATCGATTAGCTGATCACTCAAGGCCTAAAAAGCAGTCGGAAAAAAAGTTTCCTGGGAGCAATATGAAGTGGTTAACGACATTTCTGCGGAAACGGCAAATTATTCAAAGCTTTTGGCAGGATTTGATATTGCGACAAACAAAGAAAATATCCGTGCCACGCTGGCTAAGCCCCTCTAAAGCAATTTGGCACCATCTAATTGAAAATGCGCCGTTTTCCATATAAACAATGTAGAGTGGAAGAAGAATATGTGCCGCAGTGGGTCACGCCTTTAGCAAGAGGAGCCGAGCGCGAGCTGTTCCCCCGAGCGTTGTGTTTCCTGTTGCGGAGTTCCAGGTTGAGTTACCCCGCACCTCCAACACTCTGAAACGGGGTTTATTGGCGCAAGTAGTTCTTGCACAGCAGGTCTATTGATGCGGAAAGCGGGTGGCAGGAACCGACGCAGGAAACACAACGCTCGGGGGAACAGCTCGCGCTCGGCTCCTCTTGCTAAAGGCGTGACCCACTGCGGCACATATTCTTCTTCCTCTCTACAACAAGAACAACCTTTTGCATCAGTTTCCCCACTTCCCTATCAATTTATAGAGATTCCATATGTAATACATGATACATACATAAGAAAATGTCGCATAGAAATCTTATGCTCCTATATACCTAGTATACGAAGGGTCCTTCCATGCCAAATTATCCATTCCCGACCATCAGGAATATGTCTGAAAACATTTCCACGCGTTTCTCGAAGTTCGAAAATAACCGTGATCGTTTATTTCCGTTACCGAAAATTTTCCTTCCTATCTTCCAATTTATGAGAGTCTGTAGTTAGGCGCTGACTGAACTAGAGGGCGTCAAAGAACAATTTTTTTTTCGCAAAACGTTTTTCAAATGCACTTAATAAAATGGTACTTGTGGCAAGGTAATGAAGTGACATAACTGTGAAAATAACGGCTTACTTATGAAAATAATTCGTGGAGTTTTCGCACAAGCGATATTGAATAAGTGCCGAATTAGGGATTTTTTTTCAGGAACATGGCAAGCTCAAATGACACAATAAAATATTTGCTCGTGGCCTGTTTACCATACAATAAATTAGAAATAATTTAGGCAGTACATTTATAGCAGACAGTCTGAAAAAATTGCTAAGTTCACTTTTGGGGGGGGGGGGGGGGGGAAGCTCTGTATTCAGCGTCAATGCGGAGCTCGTGGGGAGCGCTGTGGTTATAAACTCACCTCTCTTTGTAGAAGTAAACACGCAATTTCCATTTTTGCTTCAAGAAGCTGCTTTGAATTTACGCTTTTATCAAACCATAAAAGCTCACTATGGTAACCAGCGCTAAAATCGGACTGTCTGGAAAAGTATAACTCTGGAAATTACCGTTGCTGCCACAAAAAAGAGTTGTCGACCCTCCATTCATACCTAAATCGGCCAACACGCTTTTGTGGTCGCACTCAACGATACAGCGAGCACCTGCCGGTTTCTCTCACATTCATTAGTTATTCTTCAGCCATTCATTATTATCATCAGTGAACTTGCGCGTTCCCCAAACCAAACCTGGATCTTATACATGCCAACTCAACAGTGAACGCATGCTGGTATAGCCATGGTCCTTTAACATTGGTATAGCGAAGGGAAACTGAACAAGGGTGAGAGAGGAAGTTCTTACAGACTAAAGTTTTGTATATTTGTTTCCGAATTTCGTATACTGTCGCTCGTTGACCTGAACCTTTTTTTTATTTTTACCTTCACTTTGTAGATTACCGATACTTGTTATTGACATACAGCTACTTCCACGGCAAGATAACAGGTGGTCAAACTAATTCGTAGCTTTCTACAGGGAAATTCTTCACTACTCACCACCTATTTTCGATACGTGAAACGTCATAATTTATATTCTTTTCAGCTTTACGTGTCTACTGCTGACTTTAGGCTAATCTGTAATTCTTAACTATGCTTGCAACTCTTTCATTCCACCTGTGACGCGATGCGTTGTCACGTGCCACAAAAACTGTGCGAAAGAGACAGAAGAACACAGAAAGCACATGCACTGTGCTTTCGCATGTGTCTTCTTTTTGTAGTTACGGAATACAAACTTGCGCAGCGTTAAGTCCTCTTAGATCGCAATAGTGTGTAGAATGTGTACATCCTAAAAGTGGGTAATGTCGCGCGTATTTATTTATTCGCGCCCATTGGAAATAACGCGAAGCGGACAAAACTGACAAGAGTGTGTGTCTATTGTTGTACGAAGCTTCTCCTGTCGTTTTTTTCCTTGTCTAGTTTGCGCTGGCATTCAATGCTTAGAACGTAACGAAAAAAATGCATGCTCCGCCCACCTAATTCCCGCACACCTGCCCATAACCTAGCGAAAGGTGGTGACGCTAGATGGTTCCCACTCGAGCTACTAGTTCTTATTCTAGGTTAATCAACGCACCACACATGTTACAAGTCCACAGGTTAGTCGTTACTACCTAAAATATTACGTTTACCTGATTAGCGATGCCAGATATTTCCCAAAGTTTACTAGGACGTTTTCCAACTTAACACTGGTGATGCAAGTATGTGTCTGCATGGTCAACTCAACTATCTGAATAACAGAAGTGCCTGACGTCACATAAATGAGTGATCGCGAATGAAATGGGAGTTTATGCAACTTTTTCACTGGGACATTGCTGGCTGTTGGTGGAGCTGTACTTTTTTATAACACTTTCATGGCCGCTAATGAACATGGTCAAAAAATAAAAAAGATTGAAAAGTGTGGCCTCTTGCGCCACGCTAAAAACACGTGGGAACACACGTGAACTGTGTGTTGGCAGTTCAGTCCTTGTCGACATAGGAGCACGTAAAGCGAACCGTATTGGAAAAAAAAAGACACATGTGTTGGGACGCGCGCAAGACAATGTATTCCGCCATATATATGGGCATGCCGAGGATCCGCTTTGTTTCATGACGTAATTGAAAGGCAATAAAAGATGTCAAAAACGGGTTCCATGAGTTTCTGCGTGACACTGAATGGCGTCAGCAGTCATTCCGGTTAAACAACACATAATTGCTTTGGAGGAAAATAGTGCATACAGAAAAAGTGTTGACATGATCCCAAATAATATTTGCCAAGAAATCAGGGCTCCCCAAGAAAACACCGAATACAAAGGCCTTTGTGCGCTTGATAAACCACCTTGGTGCAACCCATCTTGTGGCGCCACAGTGGTAATAAGTTGAACTACGCAGCTACCACCTTTATTCGGTCACGCGACTGGCCGCAACTTTTTGTTAGGATGACTGCCAGTTGGGCGTGTTGGTAAAGGTTCATGATGAAACAAGCGCAGAAATACACACACTCAGGGAGGACACAGACAAGCGCTTCCTAGCAACTGAAATTTTTTTTACGTTTTCTTTTCTTAGTTCTTGACACGTGTTTGTTTATGGTTGTGGGCGCGTGCATATCTTGTTATATCACGTTGTTGATGATGACGGGGGAAGTCGGGAATGACGTACATGCGTGTGATGTATTTATTAGTGTTCGCTTCGAAATAAAATTTTCAGTTGCTAGTAAGCGCTTGTCTCTGTCCTCTCTGTGTGTGTATTTCTGCGCTTGTTTCATCATGAACTTTTCTGCCTTTCTCTCAAATGTTTATTATAAAGTGACTGGGACAGTGCAGACGTTCTGTTCCTTCAAGACATATCCACGTAAAATGCTCACGATTTTGAGGGATGGGCGCGCGGATGGCGCCTCCGTTGAACAGGGCGCCGTTGACGTCAGACCAGAGGTCGGGCTCGCTGCTCTTCTTGTCCGCGTAGTAGGCGAAGAAGGCGTCCGCTATCAAGTTGCCCAGGTTGCACTCGCGCAGCCGGCAAACTTGGTCCGCTTGCTCTAGCTTGACCTTCGAGATGCCGATCACCTCGCTGATGGCTCGCGTCACGTTTTCCTTGTAGCAGTCGATGACTTCCAGCATTTCCTTATCTGAATGAACACAGAACGATGTAGTAGTGAATGCGCTCGTGCACTATAGATAAACCTATAAACCATGTTATTGTCACACACACTCTTTTTAATGCTTTATGTTATCGGCTCATAGCACGCGTAGATTCTGCCTCACGCAAACTATGCTAGAATGTCTGTGTGAGCCTGGTGTCGAGCTTGCTGGTACATAGTTTGAAATCGAGGAACCCAGCCTTCAAAAACCACGCACACAAGACGAGAAGTGTGACGACCACACACAGTTGGGTACAAAGAACAGTTTAATAAAAAAAGGCCTAATTGAAAAAAAAAACCAAGACGCACATGCGCCCAACATATTTTAGGGTAGAGATGTGCGAGCATATGACAAACGACGAAAAACCACGCAGATAAAACACAGCGCATGGCACCAATGACACCAAATTACAGTTTCTCTAAAAACGTCACCTCTTTTCGCCAAATAGAAATAATTGAGGAATTCTAAATGGAAGAAAAAATACGGTCAGGATCGGTGTGTAAGTTTGCCTTCCGTTACAAGAGAAAGAAAAAGGAAAGAAAAAGAAGAGGAAGACTAGAAGCTCTTCATGCTCCGCCCCCTTGGCCAATACCGTAGTGTGAGTATGAGCCACTGTTTCTAAGATATACTCTATTTCACTCCCAAGGTTTTATGTTATTGGAGCTGAAACACACACCGCTGCATGATTTTCGAAGGCCTTAAGCCTCACGTGCCTGATATCTTCTCGTTTGGAGATTATCGTTTTTTTTATTGAAACATAAAAATATTGCTCATGCAAGTCCACAATATCCACAATTCGTGCCGTGCAAGCTGCCGTACCAACTTATTTGCTCGGTATACGTGCGCTGTTAAATTTGCACAAAACGTCCACGCTCTTATTTGCGCGTCAGCCGTAATTGGCATGAAACTTGTGAAAGAGCGAAAAGATGTTTTTTTTTTTTTAGAATGCAGGGAAGTCTGAACAATAATTCGGATTTTCCGATAGCTTACTGAGAGACGCGGAAAGTGTTTTTTCTTACTGATTTGTCCTCTCTGTCTTTCAAATTCCATATTTCCCAAACGCAGTGCAAGGTAGCGTACCGGGGGCTACCTTCTAGCTAATCTCCCTGCCTTTCTTTTCTCTTCCTCTCTATCTCTTATTCACCCTCTATTTGTTTCATCAACTTAAGCTACACACGTTACCTTCATGAACCACTTCCCACATTGAAGAGGCTGATGTGTTGGATCATCATCTTGGGTTTGTGACGAACTTAAGTCGACAACCTGTCATGTTCGTTATCTCCCAGTCCATATGACCGACAGAAGCAGGCACTGCGCGTTCAGCTTACATCCTCGTAAACCAATACCCGGTTTCCTATAAGTTAGCCGTCCGGCCGTGAGTTTTAAAATTAATTTTACCGCAGCCTTTTACTGGCACCGAAGAGATAACGTCACGCGTTGTACTGAAATACCTTGTTTCGACATTAAGTATTGCATTTACCCTTACTTTATTTTTTTTCCCGATCTTACACATCGCGATATATTTTTCAACAGAACTTCAGCACTCAGAACGTTCCGCCCAATGAAAAACCACGCAGATTGAAGAGAAGCTCGTGATTTGACGAATCTCCAATGTCATTCTCGAGGAAAGTATTCTATAGCTGTGGACTTAATTGAGATATATTTTCAAAATGATACATGCCTCTGTTCTCCAGACGCATGTATTGTAAATTTCTTCTGAAGTTAATTTCTTGATGACATACAAGCGTTTTTCATCGCTACAGAAAGTCCTATTAACGTATCGATCAAACGTCACATTTTACAGGCGAGCTCTGACAAATCTGACCTTTATTTTTAGCGAAAATGCCCATGTCATATCAGATGGGCTCTATACGTGTGGAAACTTGCGTAAAGAAAGTTGAGACCATATCAGACACTGACAGAGCATTCTGAAAAGGTTAGATTTGCCATGTGTCAGAGAGTTTAGTTTCTTTTGCGTCTTACCTTCTTTCACTGAACTGTTCAACAGTATAGGATTTCCCGTCCAATTTATAACATTTCCATTGTTGTCAAAGCTGACTTGTAAGAAACCTAAAAACTTTCCGAACCAATAGTCTTGCACGACAAGACCTACGCTACCATCGGTTCTATTTACGACAGTAGGATAGTCTCCTTCTGGGGTGTTCTCCTTTGGATAGCCTTGACCTGCAATGGAAGTATTAATTTAACGTTTTAGAGTCTGACATAAATAAATAGTTAATTAACAGTGTAGCTTTATTAACAATGTAGTAAAACCGGATTAAGTATGTACTCTTAAATTGTGCATGACTAGTAGCTTAACACAACAAACAAGGTGGTTTACGCTACCATCTATGACATGGGATGTGCATTTATTTTCCCATCATTTTGAAATAGAACTAACGTGCTAAATAACGTGTTCTTTTTTCAAAGTGTTTGAAGTGATTGGATAAGTGCTAACAATTATTTTAGTCATGTAATTGAAGATACTGCTTTAGGCAGGCATTAGCACACCGATCAGTCCAGTTTACGACTTGATTATCTTGTGGTAAATATTATAAATGCTTCGTAAGAAGCTAGTTGCATGCAGTCGGACTTTTGATGCACTGAACTTTCACACCAGCAAACATGTCTGTGTCTTGTATTTCATTTTTTTTTTTCGTCTTGGTTTAGAAATCTAGTGCAGAAAAAGTACGAAGCAATCTTTGCATAAGCGGGATTCGTCGTATTTCAATGCATGCCCAAAATAGCGTTCCTTCGTTAATAGTTTATGTGTTCGCAGAGTTAGGTCACTGGCAGATATTCGCAACACTAAGACGTGACACTAAGCTCTGAGCGAATGAGCAGGAGAGGTTGAAAAGAGAAGCTAGGAAAGGTTATCCTGTGGCCATACGTCAACGACTCCACTGAAAATTTGGACAGTGATAGTTCACTTCCAATCTGCGTTAAGATTTCCTCAATAAAATAGTTCGTTCAGCCAATATAGATAAGAAAATTCAGGCGATTTGGTACCGTGATACAGAAAGGTGTTCGTGTGTCCACCAACGAGCAGATCCAACTGTTTGACTTGTCTCGTGATTTCGATGTCCCTTGGGTATCCCGAGTGCGTTATTGCCACAATCACTTTTACTCCATCTTTTTCGAGTTTTTCTGATTCTTGTTTGATGGCTGTGATTTCGTCTTCAAACTTCACTTTACCTGCAAAAAAAAAAAAAGCTCTAGGTAATCAAGCCCAGTAGCTTGCCGTGGACGTCACTACACCTATTGTTGCCCGCTCAGTGCAATTCTTGACATAGTGCTAGCCTGAGTGACCCTGTGTAAGTTCTCCTGTGCAGGACAAGCTTTTGCCGCAATACGAAAATTGTATTTACTCTTCTGCACATTTTAGTTTCACGTAACCTATAGTCATATTTCACGATGACATAGTAAAAACGTATTAAGTACAATTTTTATTCACCAATTTCATGTACTCTTCTTATGCGTTTTAATTAAATGTCTATAATGAAAAAGTAATTGATTTTGTGTAATTATGTAACTGGTGTACCCCGAGGATAGCAGGTTAGTTATCTGTTAATTTATTCTTTTACTCGCCTTCTAACTACATGTAGGGTACTAACAGTACCTGCGTGCCACTCCACGCAATAAAAACAACCACGAACGTTGATTTATTTTACTTTATTTCATTCGCCTTGTATTGCCTGCTAATTAAGCACTATCATAAGAGAATGTAGAAATTTTGCAAGCATCGTTTGACTTCACATGAAGACAGCAGGTTCCGCCCGGTTTGAGTGCAACAACAAGTTGGTAATTGCAGTTTGCCTGTAAATCATTAGCTAACATTGGTTACATTCTATAAACAGTAATGAATATTAGCTAACTATCTACAGACAAACAGTACCAGTCATTATGCACCCACTGGATCAAGAGGAGGTGTTATTTTTTAATCAAAGCGTTGCAAGTGCTGCGTTACGTCTGCAGAAAAAAATAATATGCAAGTATGTCTCAAAGTAGTTTACATGCATGCGCTTACCGGTGCTCGACAAAAATCTTGTCTCCGGAAGTACGGCACCGACAATGCCCACTGATACGCCGTTAATTTCTATCATCACTGATTTGGGGAGAGTGATATTTTGTAAAGCCGGCTCTTCGGAAAAGTCCGTATTCGTGCCCACTATTGTCACGTTAGCTCGTTGCAAGGCCAAAAGATGATGCGCGAGTCCCTCCGGTCCGTCGTCGAATTCGTGGTTTCCGAGGCACTGGAATGCAACGAGTGAAATTCAGATTCTTTTTTTTTCTTGAATCACACAAGTAACGGCACAGGAGCTAAAGTATCTGACTGAGGCTACTGTAACCATTTCACAAAGATACTGTAGTTCAATTACATGCAAGTACGTCCCATGCGGCAAGCTTTCCTGACTGTTAAAACACACACGCACAAAAATAAAAATGCTACATTCACATCTCACATTAATGAATCTAAGGGTGACATAAACGTAATTCTAATGCAGAACAGCTTCCTTACAGAAGTGCAAAAAATTATTTATCAATATGAGTTACGCCTGTATAATTATACGATGTACAATATACCATACATGAAAAATACACTTTGCCGGAAAATAATATCAATGAAGTAAAAAAAAGGAAAGATGAATTTGAAAGTGACGGCACAGCAACATGATTCTGTGTCAATGAATTTATAGTTACGTACAGTGCATGAAGAGAAAGTTTATTTTACTTAGATTAAAATGTAAGTACATGCACCACCTAAAGACGAAGAGGGAATGAAAATGTCAATATATGGAAAGAGAGAAAAAAATTAAGGGACCCTAAATCTTCGTCTTTAAGAGTTGAACGCGACAGTGATAATCTGTACAAAGTGCTTACTTCAAACACTTGGTGTACGAAACCTTTTCGAAGCTTGCTATGCACACTACGTGGCCTTAAGGCAATAAGCGCAGTAGCCTGTGTGTTTTCGGTAGTGGGTGACTGGCTTTAAAAAACGAAGTCATTGTGATAATCACTTGTTCTGACACCGGATGGCAATGGGCGCTTGTACCCCGTATTTTATTACTGCCATATTTCATGTTATATTGGGAAGAATGTATACAGAACGCGTGTGTCTTTGAAACATGAGAGTTACTTTCACTGCATTTTGAAGCAGAGGAAGTTATTTTCCATGTATTCACAAGCAGAGGCGTGGCGGTGTGGCATGCAGAACATCCGCTGGCCACGTAAACGACCCGGGTTCTGTCCCACTATGACCCAGAATTTTTCAATAATTTATTTAATTTGCATCGTTTTAGATTTTTTGGTCACGGATAAGATGATGATTCTTCGTTGATACAACGACATTAATGCCGGAATTTCTGAGAAATTAGCTTTTCAACGCTATCGATTTAACAAATGCGGGAAAAGCATAAATATTTAACGAAAAATTCCAGAACACACCAACGTGCCTGAACGCGGTTGGGATCACTGGTGAAGAATTGGCTTTAGTAATTCTAGCGCGCACTGTTCGGCTGTATTTCGCTTTCACCGACTAACTGTTGTACAACGGGGCATCAGTAATCTACCTCAACATGTTGGCAAATATAAACACATCTGCCTTGGCTGAATATGCACATTCTTAATTGGGAATTGTTTTTCGTAAAACGTATCAGGCTACAAAAGGACATCACATACCCCCCCCCCCCCCCCTCTTTCACCTTGAAATGAGAACCTCGCGAACCATACCCTAAACGATATAGCGCATATTAACTGCAATCCCCGACCCTAAACGTTGCAGCTTTACAAGCTGGCAACACGCAAGTTTGACTTAATTGCTGCGTGGAACACCCAACGTGCGTTATTACTATCAAGGCACGTGTGCGTGGGTGCGACTTGACCATGCATAATAGTGAATTCCCTCGGCAAGACGTTGATGCATGGTGATGTTCAATTGACCGACATGTAGATGAAACTACGTGCAGGCAGGATGAATCGCTCGTTATGCGTACTTCTTGTTGCTTTGTATATAGAACTGAATATTGTTAGGATGAGCTATGCAACAGCAAATGATCCTGCGGCGTACGCAGGCGGAATCGCTAGCGCATCCTGTTCCGTTACACCGATTGTACGTGGCTGAGCATGATACGCTCTGCCCTTTTTGCAAAAGGGTGCGAAAGGAAGTGCATTTCTTAAACCCAAAGCCTTACGGCCACCACGTTGTGTACAGATGTCTTTTCAACTAACATCTCAGACAGGAACTGGAGGGCAGAAAAAAATAAATCAATCAGCTGCATGCGGTTCTCGTCCCCATTTTAAATGTCGAATTCCCAGCATTCGGGGCACAATGACTTGCAGTGACCGTGATAGCATATTTCGAAATGACAGTGTGGTACTTGGTGTCTGGTATGACAACGCTTAACGTATCTGGCAGCAAGAAATCGTAACGTCCCTTGCAAGTCGTGGCCCGAGCTTTTACACCACAAGAGCACTAAAAAAGAAGTCACGTACACGGCGAAATTGTCGTTCCACAATTTCTTGCAAAATGAATCACCACAATTTTGGTCCTCAGAACTGTTTATTTGAAGTTATTCCACGCTTACTGTTCCGTTTTATGGTACGGGTATATTTTGAGGGTGACAATCGGTGACTATCAAAGCAGTGTGGATATTTTGATATTAAATCTACATTACTTATATTACCAAAATAGACTTACATACAAACAAGTAAACTGTAGCGTTAAAGCACAGAAAAAAATTCCCGCATACCCACGAAGTGAATGATGATGAAGGAGCTTGCTCCAGAGGTTAAATTCGGTAAACCGTGCATCCTCTGTACATATGCTCAATCATCATCATATAAAGACGGGACACGAGAGTTGTTGTGGTGTGATTGTATATACACGTTATAGACACAATGTTTTTTTTTTTTTAGGGGCGAAGTTACGTATGCCGTAGGTAGTACGTTCCGTGTCAACACCACCTAGACTATTGACAATAGTCTAGGTATAGTGTTGCCCGTGTCGTCATCGAATATAGTAGCCAGTTTTCAAGGTCATACAATTGCATTGCATGTAAATAAAAACGGTGTCACAGCATATCCACGGAGTGAAAGATGATGAGTTGGGCGAAGCGTCCTTCTGTCCATCCGTGCATCGTCCGTTCATTATTTTCTTCTTCTGAGAATCATCTTTCGTACAACTACAGCTGTGACATTTATGTATACAAGCAGCTTAACATCCCCAGTGGCAGCTCAGAAGGTAGCGCTTTCCTCAGCTCTCCATGGCGCTAGTTTGATTCCCAGCAGCGGCGGCCACATTTCGATGGTGGGAAAGTGCAATATCTTCACAGTATACTTCGATTGAAGTGCACATTACAGAACACCAGGAGTTCAAGATTAATCTGAAGTCCCACACGGAGGCATGCCTTTTGGTCAAAGCTTTTCTGGTACGTAAAGCCTTAGAAATTAACAATATAATTTAGCAGCTTCAACATTTTTTTTTGCATTATGAGCCTTCAGTTCAGCGATGTTCGTATTTGCGAAATTATGTACGCGTTTTCTTTCCTTTTTTTCTTCGCCCCTGCATTTAAAGACAGCGTCCTCTTACCACATAAGTCGTAATGCATTCTCGTCATGACGGCCGAAATTATTTTCTCCTTCAGCACGGTGTACCACGCGGTTCCTTGAAAGAAGTCACCAGCGTTCAAGAACAAGGCTCCTGGATATCGCGCCTTCAATTCTTCGACCTGGAATAAAAAAAAACAATAACACGAGCTCAGGCGAGGACTACGGCATTGTATACGTCGTAGCTGCCAGAAAGGAAAGCAAATGTGATTCTAGCAGAACCAATGACTTCGATAAGCATGCAGCTCGTAGTCATAGTGTTAAGCAGTATTTTCCACAGAAAAAAAAGGGGGGGGAGTAAGTCTAACCATAGCCCCCCACCCCCTTTTTTTCGATTGGGTTCAAAGGAAAGTAAGCTTCTCAATGAATGCAAAAAAAAAAAGAAATAATGACGTGTTTCCCACGGTGGTCTACCTTTATTCTCCGTCTTTCTGGAGGTGATAATGGGAAGCAAACAGCTTTTGCAATGTAACATTAGTGGTCCTTGGACACCCATGGCCGTAACCTTGAGCTTAAGATAATGAAGTGAAGGTGTGGGGCACACTTGGTTCCCATCTCAGATGATTGTGGGGGAACCGGCCTCCCTCACCCGCACGCGTAAGTCAGGCGTGAGGGAGGCGAGGATAACAGAAAATGCTACTGAAATAGAGACAGCGTTAAAGGTGAATTCACAGTTTTTTGATGGAAGTCAAATGTATGTACATCACTTCTCCTTTTTTCCCCTCATAACTGAGCCAGAACATCGTGAAAAAAAAAGATGCATAAATCACCAGATCGCTTGTTAAACTTTCACAATTCACGCATATATATAGTAGTGAAAATAAAGTTTGACGAAGCATGCACAGACAGACCTTTGTCTTGATTCGAGCAACGCCTCCAACGCAGGTCTTGTTTTTCCTATCTTTGTCGCTGCACATGGCACCGTACTTCGTGCTCTCTTCGATATGCGCGTGCACGTCATTTGTGTGCAGCACGGTTAGCGTGAAAGCAGCTTGTTCTCGAGCGAAGCAGCAAACGCAAAACAGAAGCGGCACCACTATGACGACGAGCACGCTCGCCGCATGCATACCATTCATCGCGGGGCAGCTGTCGGACTGATTCGAACATACTGCAGGCCTCACCCTTTCTAGAGCGGCCGCACTTTTCCTCGGAAAGGCGTGCCGTCACGATTTTCGCCGGACAACTTTCAAAGGTCTCGACACTTCGCGATTGACAATGACTGAAGACAAGCTGTATTACCCCTGTTTTTTTTTCTTGTTTGTTTTTTTTTGCGTCAGCACACAAGACAACGCAGTGTTCGAGTAGCGTTGTATCGCGCTTGTGCTTCGTTCAGTAGTGGGCGTGGCAAGCTGCTTTCACAAAGCGAAACGTCATCAGGATTGTGGTTATTCGCACACCTATTGCAGCGAGCAAGCGACCGCGATTGTAGCCGTGGCATTTCAGAACAATTGTTCCGAGTTCACCGAGCGTTGCGCCTCTGCGAAAAGTGTCTGTATATGCTACTGATCTGGTAAACTAAATCGAAGTTTTCAAAAAAACAAAAACAAGAAAAACTAGACCGCTTCTTCTCTTCTATGATCGACAAACGCGTTTTGAACTAATAGGGAGCTTTAGAATAGCGGACCGCGAGCCCTTGCGGTGCGGCCGCTGCCACTGCGCATGCGTCGTAACGCGAGTCGGCGTTCGCGGACCGCACGCAGGAAATCCGAAATTGCGTGCGGCGATCGCGGCCCGCATGTGGCCCGCAAGCGCTGGTTTCGAGGCTACGGTGTCACTGCGACCGTGCGTTGCGGTTTGCAGCAGGGCAAACGCTATTGTAAAACTCATATGGCACCCGCAACGCCCGCAGCGCTTGCAAACGGTATTCTAAAACTCCCTAATATGGAAAACGTACAATTGTAACGTCCCCAAACCAAGATATCATTATGCGATGCCGTACTGGAGGGCTCCGGAAATTTCAAGCATCTGGACTTCTCTGATATCCCACAGTTCTCGGACCTGCACCGTTTAGCCTCCGTCGAAATGCGACCACCGTGGAACGGATCGAACTCGCTACCTTTTGGTGAGCAGTCGAGCTGCAACCTAATGACTGCTCCACCGTGGCGGACGACATAAAAAGGAGGGCGAAGTTTACACTAAGCCACGTAGGCTTCAAACACTGAAACCGGATGATTCTGAAGGCTAATTAGTTGCTTTTGGATTGTTTCTAGGCCCTAGCTCGCTAGGTGACGCAAGGTTGTCTCTACGTTAATTCTGTTGTAGGCCCGTGTACTCATATTTGGGTGCACGTTAAAGAACCCCAGGTGGTCAAAATTTCCGGAGCCCTCCACTACGGCGTCTCTCATAATCAAATGGTGGTTTTGGGACGTTAAACCTCACAAATCAATCAAATCAATACGTTAATTCTGAGCATATAGAGGTTAAACATCAGTCACACGCAACCGAAAAAAGGTAATGGATATTTGCGCTGTAACTCTATAATATTTGTAAAAAATTATTTTGTGTGAACCTGTGCCAGTAAACTCAGAAACTAAATTCTCGGCAAGAATGTCCCTTGCTTGGTCGGTCGCCCCGCATGAGGTGGTTAGCCACCTCATGCGGGGCGTTAAGGAGCAGCTGTTCGCTGGTCTCGTATGAAACCCGCCTACAAGTGTGGATGAATTCTTCAAGGAGGCGACATCTATCGAACGCGCACTGCATCTACGTTATCGCCAGTATGACCGCCCAACCCACAGTGCACCGATCAGCGTGGCAGCCACTACCACAGCAACAACACCCGACGAAGGTTCTTTGCGCCAACTGATACGAGAAATCGTACAAGAAGAGGTCAAGAAACTCGTTGCTAAACCGAATGACTGCGCGATCGCCTCAGTAACGGAAGTTGTACGCCAGGAGGTCAGGCAAGCGCTCTCGCTTCCTGAGCCGAACACGAGCACTCCCAGGGCAAGCTATGCCGACGTAGTCCGCCGACAGCCAGTGAACGTGCCGACACCACATCAGTACCACCAGCAACATCCGCCGACAGCGCCTTGGTACTACAGAGAAACTTCGATGCCGAGGCGGCCACCACTTCGCAAAACTGTCATCTGGCGTACCCCTGATCATAGGCCCCTGTGCTTTCACTGTGGGGAAGCAGGCCACATCGTTCGGTATTGCCCGTATCGCGCCGCAGGGTACCAAGGGTTTCCTTCTACGGTTCCTCGGCGCCATTTCAACGGAACACCTGACGTCGACACGAGTGTCATGACCCCGCGGGATGTTCCTCCTGGGTTTCGGTCACGCTCACCCTCTCCTGGGCGTTATTCTCCATCCTCTAGACGGAGCACCACTGACATGCCAAGAGGGAGATCTCCTAGTCCACGCCGGGGAAACTAAAAGCAGCGACCTCAGGGGGGAAGGTTGCGAATCGTCGAAGTGCTGAAAATCCCCCATTACTGCCGAGCGAAGAGAGACACATTTTCAATGAATCGACGAAAGATGGGGTTGTTACTGCCGAAGTTGCAATTACGATTGACGGACATGACGGCATGGCATTGGTCGACACTGGCGCATACTTCTCAATAATGAGTGAGGGTCTGGCAGACACGCTCAGGAAGGTTAGAATGGAATGGACAGGACCGCAGATTAGAGGAGCTGGAGGGCAGCTACTCACACCTATCGGAAAGTGCACCGCAAAAATGAAGATAGGGGATGCATCCTTCGTCGCAACTTTTGTTATCCTTTCTGAGTGTTGCAAACAGGCAATCTTCGGGATGGATTTCTTGCGTGAATATGGTGCCATCATCAATATTCCGGACGGTGTACTGACCTTTTCAGCGGATCAAAGCGCAGCGCTACACCGAAAATCCCTGCGAGTCATTGACGATGTGACCGTACCTCCGTTATCGTGCCGCCTTGTTTCAGTCACGTGCAGCGAGCAGAATACTGGAGAAGGAATCGCTGAACAAGTATTGACGCTCCTACTCTCTCGCGGTGTTGCAATTGCCAGAAGTATCGTCAATGTTGTGTGCGGTGAAGCAGAGGTTCTGTTAACGAATTTTACCAACGAGCGACGACACATTACACAAGGATCTACAGTTGCCTACTTCGACGAGATCACCGAAATCCGCGAGTGCTGTGTAGTACAACAGGACGAGCCGCAAGCCCCGTCAGCTTCACCACCTATTGACGTAAGCTCGGATTTGTCACCAGCGCAGAGACAGCGTCTAGTAGATCTTCTTCACCAGTTCAAAGACTTTTTTTCATCGTCCTCAAGTGTCAGTCAAACGCCACTGACAAAGCATCGGATAATAACGGAGGAGATGGCAAGGCCAATACGACAGAACCCATACCGCGTAGCACCGAAAGAGCGTGAAGCAATCCAGGAACATGTGAAGAAAATGCTCGATGATGACGTCATCCAGCCGTCAAGAAGTCCTTGGGCATCGCCGGTAGTGCTGGTTAAAAAGAAAGACGGAAGCTTGCGATTTTGTGTCGACTACCGCAAGCTGAACCGTGTGACAAAGAAAGACGTGTACCCATTACCGCGCATCGATGATTCACTCGACAGGCTGAGGTATGCGCGCTACTTTTCGTCAATGGACCTCAAAAGTGGGTATTGGCAAATTGAGGTCGACGAGCGAGATAGAGAAAAAACGGCTTTTGTAACGCCTGACGGGCTTTATGAATTTAAAGTCTTGCCATTCGGATTGTGCTTAGCCCCCGCAACATTTCAGAGACTGATGGATACCGTTCTGTCAGGCCTTAAGTGGCAGACATGTCTGGTCTATCTGGACGACGTCATTGTTATTTCAAAAACATTTGAGGAACACCTGAGCAGGCTGCTATCGGTATTCAGGGCAATAAGGTCTGCCGGCGTGACACTGAAACCCGAGAAGTGTCATTTCGGTTTCAAAGAGCTTCAATTTTTAGGCCATGTGGTGAGCCATGAAGGTGTTCGACCTGATCCCGATAAGATTGCAGCCGTCAGAAAATTTCCGGTACCAAAAGACAAGAAAGCAGTCAGGCGTTTCCTTGGCCTATGCGCATACTACTGAAGGTTTATTGCCAATTTCTCCCACATAGCCTCGCCGTTAACACGACTCACAAGAGAAGACGTTTCATTCACATGGGGCGACGATCAACAGGTGGCATTTGACGATCTCCGACAACGCCTGCAGACTCCGCCTGTGCTTGCTCACTTTGATGAGGATGCTCCCACCATGGTCCATAAAGATGCCAGCAACGTGGGTTTAGGCGCTGTACTCGTCCAGTGGCAAGACTCAGCCGAGCGTGTGATCGCATATGCTAGTAGGACGCTTTCCCGCACCGAGTCCAACTACTCCACAACGGAAAAAGAGTGTCTTGCTGTCGTATGGGCGGTTATGAAGTTTCGTCCGTACCTCTATGGTCGTTCCTTCCACGTAGTCAGCGACCATCATTCCCTCTGCTGGCTGACCAACTTGAAAGGCCCGTCTGGTCGGCTATCACGGTGGAGCTTACGCCTTCAAGAGTTTGATATGACGGTCGTGTATAAGTCCGGACGGCAGCACGCCGACGCCGATTGCTTATCAAGGTCACCGATAAAGCGCGACGATGACACAGAAGATGACAGCATGGCGTTTGTAGGAGTCGTTGACACCACTACGATTTCGTGCAAGCAGAAAGAAGACAGTGAGTTGCTTCCTCTTATTGAATTTTTGAATGGCCGGACAACAACCGTCCCTAGAAGATTTGCAAGGAGCCTGCCGTCATTCTGCTTACGTAGTGGTGTTCTCTATAAGAAGAACTTTTCTCCCAGAGGAAGCACCCACCTACTTGTCGTTCCGACATCACTTCGTGAGAAAATACTTTGTGCTTGCCACGATGAGCCAACGTCTGGTCATCTCTGATACACACGCACATTGGCCAGAATCCAACAGAAATACTACTGGCCAAGACTTCCAGCTATTGTGAAGCATTACGTGCGCACGTGCCTCAATTGCCAACGACGAAAATCGCCACCCTTTAAAACCAGCTGGACTATTACAACCAATTCGTGCCCACGGTACCTTTTGCCCAAATTGGAATGGATCTCCTTGGACCATATCCGACTTCCCATGCTGGCAACAAGTGGGTAAT